AACACCCCTCACCACACCCCCCCTCCCACCACAACCCCCTCACCCCACCCCTCACCCACAACACCCCTCACCACACCCCCCCCCCCTCACACAACCCCCTCACCACACTCCCCCCTCACCACAACCCCCCCTCTCCCCACCCCCCTCACCACAACCCCCTCACAACCCCTCATCACCTCCTCCCTCACCCACACCCCTCACCACTCCCCCTCACCACACTCCCCCCTCACCCACACCCCCCCCTCACCACACTCCCCCCTCACACTCTCCCCTCCCCACACCCCCCCCTCACCCCCCCCTCACCCACACCCCCTCACCACAACCCCTCCCCACACCCCCCTCACCACCCCCCTCACCACACCCCCTCCCACCACACCCCCCCCTCCCACCACCCCTCACACACACCCCTCACCCCCCCCCTCCCACACCCCCTCACCCACACCCCCCCCCTCACCACCCCCCCACCACACCCCCTCACCCACACCCCCCTCACCACAACCCCCCTCACCCACACCCCTCACCACAACCCCCTCACCCCCACCCCTCCCACCCCCCCACAACCCCTCACCCCACCCCTCCCACCCCCTCACCACCCCCCCTCACCCCACCCCCTCACCACCCCCTCACCACAACCCTCTCTCATCATAGGTCATACAGTGTAAAATCGCATTGCGTTGTGATGTGATCTTCGGTATGTGGGAAATAACATGTTCAATTTACCTGTTGAACATTCTTCCTTTGTTCATCTTTATCCTGGACTGTCAGGGGATGGAGGGGGGGTCAGTGGGAGTGAGATGTTGAAGTGGGTAACGTGCAGGAAGTAGCATTGTGTGGGTAGGGGTTGATAAAGATCACATGGTGTGGGTAGGGGTTAATGACGTGACATGGTGTGGGTAGGGGTTGTGAGGCATGGTGTGGGTAGGGGTGTGGGGTGACATGGGGTGGGTGAGGGTTGAGTAAGATGACATGGTGTGGTAGGGAGATGATGAGAATGTCATGGTGTGGGTAGGGAGGTTAAGTGACATGGTGGGTGGGTAGGGGTGTGGACATGGTGTGGGTAGGGGTTGAAGAAGGTGACATAGTGTGGTGGGGGTTATTAGGGTATTATGGTGTGGGTAGGGGTTAGTAAGATGACATGGTGTGGGTAGGGGTTAGTGAGAGTGACATGGTGTGGGTAGGGGTTAGTAGGGTGACATGGTGTGGGTAGGGGTTAGTAGGGGTGACATGGTGTGGGTGGGGTTGGTAGAGATGACATGGTGTGGGTAGGGGTTGGTAAGGAGTGACATGGTGTGGGTAGGGGTTGGTAAGGGTGACATGGTGTGGGTAGGGGTTGGTAAGGGGTGACATGGTGTGGGTAGGGGTTAGTGGGTGACATGTGTGGTAGGGGTTAGTGGGGTGACATGTATGAGTAGGGGGTTAGTGAGGAATGACATGGTGTGGCTATGGTGGTGTTGGGGAAGATATGGTGGTGTTGAGGATGGTACAGAGGGGTGGAATTGCTGGGTTATGGGGGATATGACTCGACAAATTACAGGTCACTTCATCACCGGGTCATATTTTGCCTGACAAGTGTACCTTAGTGTCTTCACCGACCACCATAGTCACTGTCTTATGTAGATTGAACGTCCGTTTATCCAGTGCAGTAGGGATGCTGTGGATGAGTGGATATAACAGTCCTCTTGTTCCATAGGGCGTTGGTTCTATCCCAGATCACCTGAAAATCAGTCACCCTAATGATGACCTTATTACATAACTTAACCTAACCATCTAGATAGTGTTTTGAAAGTTAGGTTAAGTTTAGAGTTAACATTGAAGTGTTGCCAACCTGGTGAGTAATATTTTGGGGTTATTGTTATTATCTACAAACCTCGATAATACCACACACACCTGGTCCTCTCCCCTCCGGCCCTCCCCTCCCACCTGCCACAACACCTCCACCCAGGCTAGTCTCCAGGGCTGGTACATTGGCTTGGTTTCGGGCTGGTCTCCTGTCATTTTTACCCGTCATTCACCTGCCGTCACTCACCCGTCATTCAACTGCCGTCACTCACCCGTCATTCAACTGCAGTCACTCACGTTATTCAACTGCCGTCACCACACCGTCATTACTTGCCGTCACTCACCTCATTCACCTGCCGATACTCACACGTTATTCACCTGCCGTCACTCACACGTTATTCATCTGCCATCACTCACACGTTATTCACCTGCAGTCACTCACACGTTATTCACCTGCCGTCACTCACACTTTATTCACCCTGCCGTCACTCCCCGTCATTCAACTGCCGTCACTCACCCGTCATTCACCTGCCATCACTCACGTTATTCACCTGCCGTCACTCACGTTATTCACCTGCCGTCACTCACCCGTCATTCACTTGCCGTCACTCACACGTTATTCACCTGCCGTCACTCACGTTATTCACTTGCCGTCACTCACCAGTCATTCACGCCGTCACTCACCCATTCACTTGCCGTCACTCACCCGTCATTCACTTGCCGGCACTTACCCGTCATTCACTGCGTCCTCACCCATTCTTGCCATCACTCACCGTCATTCACTTGCCGTCACTCACCCATTCACTTGCCGTCACTCACCCGTCATTCGCCGTCACTTACCCGTCATTCACTTGCCGTCACTCACCGTCATTCACTTGCCGTCACTCACCCATTCACTTGCCGTCACTCACCCGTCATTCACTTGCCGTCACTCACCCGTCATTCACTTGCCGTCACTCACCCGTCGTTCACTTGCCGTCACTCATCCATTCACTTGCCGTCACTCACCCGTCATTCACTTGCCGTCACTCACCGTCATTCACTTGCCGTCACTCACCCATTCACTTGCTGTCACTCACCGTCATTCACCTGCAGTCACTCACGTTATTCACCTGCCGTCACTCACACATTATTCACCTGCCGTCACTCATCACCAGGCTGGAGGGTGGCCCGAGGCTGGAGGGTGGCCGAGGCTGGAGGGTGGCCGGGCTGGAGGGTGACCGAGGCTGGAGGGTGGCAGGCTGGAGGTGGCCGGGCCTGGAGGTGCTGGGGCCTGGAGGTGGCTGGGCCTGGAGGGTGGCCGAGGCTGGGGGTGGCCGGGGCTGGAGGAGGTGGCCGAGGCTGGAGGGTGGCCGAGGCTGGAGGGTGGAGGGTGGAGGTGGCCAGGCTGGAGGGTGAGAGGCCTGGAGGGTGGCCGAGGCTGGAGGTGGCCGGGCCTGGAGGTGGCAGGGCCTGGAGGGTGGCTGGGCTGGAGGTGGGGCTGAGGGGTGGCCGGGGCTGGAGGTGGCCGAGGCTGGAGCTGGCAGGGCCTGGAGGGTGGCTGGGGTGGGCCTGGAGGTGGCTGGGCCTGGATGGTGGCTGGGCCTGGAGGTGGCAGGGCCTGGAGGTGGCAGGGCCTGGAGGTGGCCTGGATGCTGGCAGGGCCTGTGGCTGGTGGAGGTGGCTGGGCCTGGAGGAGGTGGCTGGAGGTGGCCTGGAGGTGGCAGGGCCTGGAGGTGGAGGGTGGCAGGGGCCTGGAGGTGGCTGGTCCTGGAGGTGGCTGGGCCTGGAGGTGTGGAGGGTGGCAGGGCCTGGAGGTGGCCAGGGCTGGATGCTGGCAGGCCTGGAGGGTGGCTGGTCCTGGAGGTGGCTGGCCTGGAGCCTGGAGGGGCTGGCCTGGAGGGGTGGCCGGGGCTGGATGCTGGCAGGGCCTGGAGGGTGGCCGAGGCTGAATTATGTAAATTTTGTGGAGTCAGGGAGTATTTAGTGGATAGAACCAGTGTGTGACGTACAGTTCTCTCTCTCTCTCTCTCTCTCTCTCTCACATGTGTGTTTGTGGCTTACATCTCTCTCTCTCTCTCTCTCTCTCTCTCTCTCTCTCTCTCTCAACTTTACCGTTGAGGAAATAAACACCATCGAGTACAGTGCCAACCAATCTGCCTCCATCAGTCTCCCCTTAACTACCCTCACAGCAACACCTAGCAGCCGTGGTAAGAAGACGTAATTACTCCCCACCAACGATACCTTTTAGTGGGTTAATGAGTAATTAAGATACCTGGCGTGACATGCACCTGTATATATGACGTCAGGTGTAATTTGGTTGTTTGTTTTTCTCCTTATTTCGTTATTTTTGTTTATTGTTTATATTTTGTTTTATTGTTTATCTTTTTGTTTTGTTTTTATTCTTATCATTTGTTTGTGTTTGTTTTTATTTTTTCTATTTCATTTTGTCTTTTTTTTAATTCTGTTTTATGAAGTTTATGTTTTTAATGCATTCTTGATAGCTCTCTCTCTCTCTCTCTCTCTCTCTCTCTCTCTCTCTCTCTCTCTCTCTCTCTCTCTCTCTCATCTCCCTCGGGGTACAACTGGTTTAGATCATGTGGTTAACGCCTTTGTTTTTCTTTGCTATTTTTTTTATCCCCTCCGGCGTAACTGGGAGGTGTCATGTTTTGTCTTGTTTAGGTGTGTGTGTGTCGGTCTGTCGGATGATGGGGGGGGAGAAAAGGGTGTGTTGTGTGTGTCTGTTTTGTGGGTGAGGGAATGTGTGTGTGTGTGTGTGTCTGTCGGGTGATGGGAGGGGGGCAGAACAGAATATGTGTCTGTTTTGTGGGTGTGTGGGTGTGTGTGTGATTTAGTTCTGCTTGAACATACATACACACACACACAGACACACACACACACACATACACATGTATATTCATAAGCGTCTCATTGTGCATATATGCTGTACAGTGGTGCATACATCCCACACCTTAGTTATGAAACACTTACTATTGTTTGTTGTGTCTTAAAACCCTAATAAAAATATACCTGGTGTCAACAACGAACCTCCTATTTTCTTTAACTGTTCTCATTATCTTCCAGGGCTGCCTATTTTCTTTCATAAGGACCCAGTTTTCTTTGATAACACTTATAATTTCTTTCATTATTCCTATTTGTTAGAAGTTACGTTTTCTGTCATGTGTCGTTTTTCTCACAGGTTATCAAGTTCATTACAGAAACATTTTTTATACAATATCTTCTTTGTCGCCATCCATAAATAAATTAACAATATATAAATAACAGAATCAGTTAACAAGGATATTATTGTCTATAAGGTAGACTGTCAGTCTTGTAGGAGCTGTCAGTGAGTGTCAGTCAAGCAGGAACTGTCAGTGAGTGTCAGTTACAGAGGCCCTCAGGTACGATACAGCGAGTGTTGGTTACAGGGATACAGTCTTCCGTCACCATGGTGGTACAGCGCCCTGATCCGTTCCTCACTATCTGTTGCCACTCAAACCCGGAGGGACACTGACGCAGCACCTGCCGATACTTGTGAGCCACCGCGTCCCACGTACACACGTAGAACCTCCTGCAGTCCGTCGGGTCCCCGAACCTCCCCTCTTGGGTGCATTCGAATCTGGGTTTCTCCCAGAAGCAGGGGTCCTCGCAGCTCCCCGTCTGCTCGTTGTAGAAGAGGACCCCCCTGTCGTAGGGACACTGATACTCGTGTTGTAGCCAGCCGTGCGTGGTGACGATACAGCTGTAGTATCTGGTACAGTCCTCGGCGTGAGCGAAGGTCCCAGGTGTTGTACATCTGGGCAGACCCGAGAAGCTGCGACACTCTACCGCCTTCTCGTCAAACCAGTCTCCTTCAGGGCACTGATGCATCCTATTCTCCCCGGACTCGTCACAGATGAAGAACGCCCCTTGATCGTAGGCGTCTCGGTAGAACACATTGGAGTCTTGACAGAGGCACTGAGTAGGTCGCCCCGGGTAGCAGACATGACCCCCGAACTCGTTGTTGTAGTTGTAGCAGAAGTTGCCCGTGTTACACTGGGTCGCGTGGGCCCTGCCGTCCACACAGTTGACGAGGGTCTTACAGTTGGCGCACATGTACTGGTTGGGAGCGTCGTAACAGATGTGGTCCAGTGAGGGCTTACGTAAATACTTCATCTCATCACCTTTCATCGTCTTGTTGCATCCCTGGAAACAGTGAAGTTTAATGCCGTTATCATACTTTTGTGTTGATCTGCTACAAAACAGGGAATGAGATTATTAAGAAATTTAAAACATTATATGAATTTACCTTTAATACTTCCCTGCTGGAGTGATGAGTAGTAATGATTTTTCTTTGGGTGTGTTGGTGGCCCTGACTCTGTGTGTGTGTGTGTGTTACTCTGGACCGTTCATCTACACGCTCAACCTCTCACTCCACACATATGTATTAACAACATTATAACCTATCCCACCTAACTCTCTCTCGGTCACTGTATATACGAGCCTGTTTTCTCCTCACACAGAACAACTCTCTCACATCCACATTTCCGCCGAGTCACTTGAATCTCTCCCAACTTAACTCCAAGAATTTCCGTTTTCTTTGATGAGTAATTATTGTCCGAAGATTGGCCAGTGGAGAGAAAGAGCTGACTACATGTATTATATGACTCTACAGTAAATCTGACTAGATATTTGTTCAGTAAAAATCTTCAGGCGAGTTTACAATTGTTAGCATGTATATAGACAATGCAAGTATATAGTTCAGCATGTATATAGATAATGCAGGTACACAGTTCAGCATGTGTATAGTGAATACAGGTATACAGTTCAGTATGTATATAGATAATGCAGGTATACAGTTCAGCATGTATAAAGACAATGCAGGTATACAGTTCAGCATGTATATAGATTATGCAGGTATACAGTTCAGCATGTATATAGACAGGTGTAAGAGGATGCACCTGAGACATACCAACGGTAATGAGGCATATTATATGTCCCAACGAGACGAAGAGACTGTATTAATTGAGACTGAATGCGGAAAGAATCTGGGTGTGTATGTTGACAATGAACTAAAGTTCTCAGGCCATTGTGAGAAGAAGGTGAATCAGGCAACTAAATTATTAGATCTTATAAGAAAGTCGTTTAGATATCTAGACGGTTCGTCCCTCGTAAGATTTTCAAGAGCGAGGTGCTTCCCCGCCTGGAGTATTGTCTGGTCCCCGAGATTTGCTAGGGACTGAGGTGCAGGCACTTGGGCACCTCAGCTACCTAGAGGGATTAGAGCGCCTGCATTTGCCTGGCAAGGAGAGGCCTAATTGAGGTGTATAAATATCTCAAAGGGCACTACTCAGTCGAGAGTTCTTACATGGAGCTGGCGGACGCTCACCCCACAAGGGGTCACAGCTCAATGTTGAAGAAGCCGCAAGTCCAGAAAACTCTAAGGGCAAACTTTTCTGAGTGAGAGTTATGAACTCGTGGAACAACCTGCCAGAGTGTATTGTGACGGCACCGAGTGTGAGCTCTTTCAAGAACAGACTTGACCAACACTGGAGCAGGTACAGATACATTCAGGAGCCGGTGCATACCCAGTACTTGTCAAGAGTGTAACAGAGGCGTAACCGATCTCCCAAGCGGCTAACGAGCCGATCGGTGGCGAAGAGGATAAAAGTAATACAGGTATACAGTTCAGCAAGTCACTCGCCCCCTCAGGATCACACTAGTGAGTGAGGAGAAGAAATGGGAAGTTATTCGGCAGGCAAAAAATCTTAGCAAGGAGCGAGGCATTTCGGAATGTATTCGTTCACCCAGATCGCACGGTAATGCAGAGGGAACAGCACAAGAAGCTCCTGCAGGACTTGAAGCAGAGGAGGAAGGAGTAGAGGAGGAACGGGTGTACATGGGTTATATCCAGGGGGAGGGTAGTGGAAGCAAGAGTGCCAGCACAGAGCCAGGGGGCAGCGGTACACCCTCACCCACTCTACCTCCCACCCAGGAGGAGGCACCAGCTCTGCCTCCCACCCAGGAGGAGGCACCAGCTCTACCTCCCACCCAGGAGGAGGCACCAGCTCTACCTCCCGCCCAGGAGGAGGCACCAGCTCTACCTCCCACCCAGAAGGAAGCGAGCGCCGTGTAAGCAATGACATTTCTAACCAACCTTGCAAAATACAGTGTATTTAGAAATGCTGCAGCTGATGAGAAAGGAGAGGGGGCGGAGTTATTACCAAGATCAGAGACGTTACCGATAACAAATTCCGGCTTGAAAGTCATCCACCTTAATAATAACACGTTCTTTGATAAGAGGGAGGAGTTTGAAACACTACTGAAGGTACAACAACCCAATATATTAAGAGTTGTAGAACTGTTGTACAAGAACAAGAGAATCGACCCTGAGGAATGTGAGTTCAGTATTGACGGATATGACTTACTTACGAACCTTTCCCAAGAAACTTGCAAGAGGGGTGTGGTTATCTATGCTAGGCAAGACCTGTTGAGCAAGTCAGGTGAGGGTACAGGGAGAGGATGTTTTTGAAGAATCAAAGTGGCGTAAAATTAAATTACTGTCAAGGGTTGGGGGATAGACTTACTTATTATCGGGTGTATCTACAGATCCTCAAACTGTAGCTTACCAAATCAAAGGAACTTAAGAGCCTTAATAGACAACGCAGCGATGCTCAACCCTAGCCACCTCCTTATCACGGGGGACTTAAACAATGGCGACATCGACTGGAGAAATGAGTTCACACCAAATGACTTAAATAACCCCGTTACTCTTTTTGTGGAAACTCTGAAAGATAATTTTCTGTTCCAACATGTTAAAGACCCGACGCATTACAGAGGGGAGCAAACACCCAGGCCACTGGACCTCATCATAACAAACGAGGAGGGTATGATGGCCAAGCTGGAACATCTAGCCACAGTTGGCACCAGCCACCATGTAATGTTGTCATTCAGATTTAATTGTTACTTAATTCATGACAAAACCAGTCCAAGGTGCAAATATTACAAGGGAAATTGCGACGGGATGAGGGAGGAGATGAGGGGTATCCACTGGCCTGACTCACTAAGGCATGAGAACGCAGACACTATGCTGAATATCATAGTCAGTAAAGTGAACCATTTGATCGAGAAATATATACCCAAGACCAAACCCAGTGCCTCTGGAAATACAAGGAGACCCCTACACATAACCATGCGGCGGTGGACAAAGTTAAGAAGAAAACCCTGAAAGTCAAGACGTGGGTAGGTCGAATGATGAGCAGGACAGGAGGATATCTGCAAGAGCCAGAAACTAACCAAAGTCAGAGTGTAGAAGGGCTGAAAAGGAGTTCCAGAGGCTGGTTGCAAGCGAGGTCAAGTCAAACCCAAAGGTGTTTTACTGTTGTGCAAAGTCGAAATTAAAAACGCGAGTAAGAGTATCGAACCTGAGGCTTGAAGATGATCGTTACGCAGATTCTGACCAGGATATCGCTGAGGCATTGAACAGCTTCTTTTCTTCGGTGTTCACAAGAGAGGATGCGATTAACCTTCCTGCGTTTGAGGACAGACGGTTCGATACAGCACTGACCCACATTGTGTTCACAGAAGAGGGTATTAGAAATAAACTGTCAAAGCTAAAGGTTCATAAGAGTCCCGGCCGTGACATGATGCATCCCAGAATGCTAAGAGAGATGTGCAACGAGCTTGCCGAGCCCCTGAAGATCCTGTTCTTTAAATGCCTCGATAAGCAAAAGGTCCCCAGTGATTGGAAAATGGCTTATGTGAGTCCTATCTTCAAGAAGGGCGATCGTCAATCCACGGATAACTACAGACCGGTGAGCCTTATTAGCATAGTATGTAAAGTACTTGAGAGTATTATCAGAGATGCCGCGATGGAACATCTACTACGAAACAACACGGTTTTATGGCGGGGCGCTCCCGCTTAATACAATTACTCAAGATACTGGATATTTGGACCCAAATTCTGGAACAGGATGGTAATATCGGCAATATATACCTAGATTTTGCCAAGGCTTTCTACAGTTTACCCTACGAAAGGCTGAAAATTAAACTGGAAGGGTACGGGATTCGGGGAAATGTCCTAGCGTGGATCGGAGACCGCAAGCAGTGTGTGGTGATTAATGGCACGAATTCATCATCTGTACCACAGGGCAGTGTATTGGGCCCGCTGTTGTTTGTTTGCTTTATAAATGACATGCCTGACGCCGTGCATTCCTCCATACAAATGTTTGCGGATGATGCCAAGTTATTTCGAGAAATCAAGAACCAAGTAGAATGTGAGGAGGTGCAGAAGGATCTCTGTGAGCTTCCAGAATGGTAGAAGAAATGGTTGCTAAAATTCAATGACACGAAGTGTAAGAGGCTGTACCCGGGACGTACCAACGGTAAGGAGGCGTATCATATGTCCCAACGGGATGAAGAAACTGCATTAATTGAGACTGAATGTGAAAAAGACCTAGGTGTGTATGTTGACAATGAACTGAAGTTCTCGGGCTATTGCGAGAAGAAGGTGAATCAATCAACTAAATTATTAGGTCTTATAAGAAGGTCGTTCAGATATCTAGACGGTCCGTCCCTCGTAACGATCTTCAGGAGTGAAGTGCTTCCCCGCCCGGAGTACTGTCACCCCGTCTGGTCCCCGAGATATGCTAGGGGCTGTTAGTTGATTGAAAATGTAGTTGATTGAAAATGTCCAAAGGAGGGCCACCAGACTGGTGCCTGCACTAAGGCTCCTCAGCTACCCTGAGAGATTAGAGCACCTGAAATTGTGTAGCTTATATAGACAATGCAGGCATACAGTGTACCTAGACACTACAAGTATACCAACAACGGTAAACGGTAAGGCATCCCATACAGGTATAACGAACAGAACATTCTTTAATTTTTAGACGGAGCAGTTTACGTGTTTAGTTTCCTACAATATTTTCTGTGAAATCTTTTAATGTGACAGTAAATAAATAATGCATTTCTGAGTTATAAATACTGTATTGTATTGTGGAAAGGAAAGACTTACCCGTATTTATATGTCCAAGTGAAATGTTTGTGTAACTGCACTGTTTAGGTACATTTTGTATACCTAAACTGTCTATGTGCAGTACAGGTTCAGCAATGTGAATTTATATGACGATTTTACTGAATAAATAGTATTGTTAACCATAATAAGATAGTCCACCACGTAGAGTGTGGAACATTTTCTCTTATGGCATCAGAGAGAAAATGTAAGGGGGACTTAGGGAAAGATGTTAATGTTTTGATAGCTCTCACATCTTTCTTCCTCTTTACCTTCCTCCCTTTCTCCTCACCTCCTTCTCTTTCTCCCCATCTCCCTCCTTTCCTACTCACCTCAATCTCTCCCTGTCCTCTTTCCTAACACCTCCTTCTCAACTCCCTACTCTCTCTCTTCCTCCTCCCTTCCCCCAAACCACACCTTCTCTTCCTTTCCTACATTTCTCTTCCTTCTTCCTAACTTCTTTCCTCCTTCCCAATAACTCCCTCCCTACCTCCATCCATCCCTCACACCCATCATCCCTCCCTTTCTCCCTCCACCATCCCTCCCTCACCTTAACGAGAGACTCCTCCAGGCAGGTGTTGAGGAAGGGAGAGAAGGCTAGGTTGGTGTCACAGGTCCGCTGAAGGGGCTCGAGCACTCCTCCCTGACCCGGCACACACTCAATGAAGGTGCCACAACTCCCCCGGATGGAGTAGTTACCAGCTTCGGGGCACTCAAACCTGTGGGTGGGAATTGAGGAGGGGATGGTGGGGGAGGAGGAGATAGTGGGGGAGGAGGGGATGGTGGGGGACGAGTGGAAGGGCGATGGTGGGGGGAGGAGGGATGATGTGGAGGATGGTGGGGGAACGAGGTGGAAGAGGCGATGGTGGGGAGGAGGGATGATGGGGGAGGAGGGATGGTGGGGATGGTGGGTGGAAAGAGGCGATGGTGGGGGAGGATGGTGGGGATGGTGGGGAAGGGTGGAGGGGAGATGGTGGGGGATGGTGGGGGAGGGTGGAGGAGGGATGGTGGGGGAAGGGGGTGGAGGAGGGGATGGTGGGGAAGGAGTGGAGGGGGGATGGTGGGGGAAGGGGTGGAGGAGGGATGGTGGGGAAGGTGGGAGGGAGGGATGGTGGGGGAAGGGTGGAGGGATGGTGGGGAAGGAGGTGGTGGGGAAGGAGTGGAGGAGGGATGGTGGGGAGGTGGTGGAGGAGTGGAGGAGGGATGGTGGGGAAGGAGTGGAGGAGGGATGGTGGGGGAAGAGGGTGGAGGGAGGGGGATGGTGGGGGAAGGAGTGGAGGGAGGGATGGTGGGGGAAGGTGGAGGAGGGATGGGTGGGGGGAAGGAGTGGAGGAGGATGGTGGGGGAAGGAGTGGAGGAGGGGATGGTGGGAGGTGGAGAAGGAGGAAGGAATAGGAAGGTAGGAAGTGGAGGAGGAGGGGGGGTGGATTGAAGAGTGGAGGTGGAAGAGGATGAAGGGGTGAGAAAGAGGGGATGGGATGGTGTGAAGTGGAGAAGGTTGAGGAGTAGGAGGGGTTGAAAAGAAGAATGGGGAAAGGATGAGAGAAGAGACACAGTCATAAACAAATATAAATGTAAACTGCACTTTATGTAAACAAACCACTAATATAAACACATTATATAAACAACTGATATAAACAAACACATGTTGTATGCAAGTTATATAATTAGACATTTTTGTTTGTTTTGCTTATTAAATGGCGTAAAATTACTTAAAATATTTCTTTTTTAACGTATGAGGCAGTATTTGGTGTAGCTGTAAGAGAGAGAGAGAGAGAGACTTACCTGCGCGTCACACTACTCGTCACACTGCCCGTCACACTGCCCGTCACCAGCACCTGCAACACATAACACAAATCATCTACTGTAACTCATCCTAATACACACCCAAGGGCGGATCCAGGGGGGTCCTGGGGGTGTAAACCCCTCTTTTCATCAGAAAATACCCCCCCCCCCAAAAGAAAAACAAATTCTCTAATGCAGTATTGTACTCGGGCGCTTGTATAGAGTAAAAATTAATTACTATTGTCCTCAGAATATTTCCTAATATAAAGTGCACATGGTTTCAAAGTGGCCATGATGTTGGTCAGATTTAAAAAAAAATCTGGGGGGGGGGCTTACAGTGCTTCCCCCAAAACCCTCATCTCCTGGATGGGTTCACTTTACTCGCCATGTTCCCCCACCCAAAACTTCTTGAACTCTTCCTTTGGATATTCCTGGATCCGCCCCTGACACCTTTCCTTGCTGACTGATAATGTTTTTCCCTGTGAGAATTAACTTTTTGGTCAGCCCCGCACTCACAAAGCTTATGTTTTTTATTGATACTCTCATGTACGTCACCTTCGTTCACCAAAGATACCTTGTACAGCACCTGGGGGTGGTGTTGAGGTCTCTGGGTCAAAGGCTGTATAGCCAGCCAGGAGGTGTATAGGGAATATTACCCTGTTTGTATTCATCAGACAACCACCACACATAAGAGATCTTTGCTACAGGAGGCAAGTGCTGCATCCACTTAGTCTCCATACCCCAATATAAAACACTATTATCCACTACCGAACACTAACCAAATCCACTATGATCCACACACACCTGAATTATCCACACCCAGGTAGAAGATAATCCACGCATGATGTTACCCCCACGATGACTACAGGTACACTGACCCCAGATCGTGTTAACTCCCGTCTTATACCCCTGTCATGGCGGCGTCCTGGAGAAGAGACGCCTCACTCGTGTTGACCATCTCGGCTTCTATTTACATTGGTCGGGGTGAGTCAACTGCAGTTTCTCCCGCGTCGGTAGAGTCGTGAACCCGTGAACCTCGAGTCAGAAATGTGGAGAAATCTTGTGTAGTGATGATAAAACTGTTCCGTTATATTTTGGTGTCGAGATAGTGAGGATTTCTATCTTTTTTTCCGTGACTGAAACCCTGGGCTAACTATCTCACTCGGTATATGTTATGTGACGACAGGACTAAGTGACTGACACCCTGGGCTGACTATCTCACCCTGTGTGTGTTATGTGACGACAGACCCACGTGACTGACACCCTGGGCTGACAATATCAATCACAGTAGAAGCAAACTTATCACTCACAGGAAGTTTATACTCACGAAAGTTATTGTCAAAGTCTTAGAAAGTTGTGGGAGAGGAAACTATCAACTGACATGGATCTGGCAACACTGGGACTCCTAAGCGATACTCTCTCTCTCTCTCTCTCTCTCTCTCTCGTACTTAACATGTATCAAGCCGGCATAATACTGACAATGATAAATTATACTCCTGCGTGTGATACGACACACACACACACACACACACACACACGGAAGCACAAATACATACACTCATACATTAACATACACATCAATCAGTCCTTCTCCCTCCCTCCCAGGTGTGAGGTGTGTACACTAATGACATGGCAGTTAACACTCGCTCTCCCACAGGTAAGGAAACCAGGTCTCCAGGTCAGTCACGTCTTCAGGTCACAGAGAGTTAGCCAGTCATCACCTGCCGGAGACACTGACCTAGTGATGTGTGTTTTGAGTGGTCAGCAGGGCTGTTGGGCATCGTTCAACCAATCAGACGCCAACATTGAGCCGGGCCAGACTTATTGTGTTAAAATCAGCGGGGCCTAGTGTGTATTATATTCGGGTTAATAGTCACGATAATTAGTAATAGTACACAATTTTTTCGTAGTTAATTAATTATTTTTTTCTGAATTTATTTTTATTAAATATTTGAAATGATTTTATTAATAGATATAATAAGATAAACCTAATTTAGTGTTAAAATATGAGAATAAACCCGTTACATGATACGGATCTAGATTGCATTAGGTTCTGTGTAAATAAATATTAAGGTCACATGATCACATCTTGGCTGGCAGCCAGTAAGCGAGGGACCAAGCACTGTGAGAACTGTTGTCTTAATCATTGTCCGTCATAACTGGATCCATGACAAAACCCCAACGGACAAAACCCCAATGGACAAAACCCCAACCCATTATATGAAAAGTGGACAAAACCCCAACGGAAAAAACCTAACCTAACCCAACATAACCTAACCTAACTTAACCTAACCTAACCAAACCTAACTTAACCTAACCACGTGCAATGCCATCATATATATGATATATATTGTGTTGTCAATGTGCTCAAGTCATGTGACTTTATTTCCGTTCACCATTCTCATAAGTGGAGCATACAGTATATTGTATATTGTAAGTGTCAATTCCCTACAAATGTAAAAGGGTTTCGTGGATTGTGGAGTGTGAAAAATAAAATGAATATATAATGTGTGTTTGCAAACATAAAAGTGTTTTATTTTATATTTTATATATGAGACTGGGGTTTTGTCTGTTGGGGTTTTGTCCGTATACCGTCATAACTACAGGTAACGTTTGATTAAATAGTAACATACAAGTGATCTTGGGCCCTTCGTGCCCGGTGGCGAGTCCGGTGGTACAGTTTACCAAGGCGTGAAAGTTCCAACGCTCGTGCTTGGCTAGCGCGCAACCGCCGTCCTGCTGACAGAGTACAGCGACATCGTTTTCCAGATGGTCGTGGTTGTTATAATCATGGTCCTGGTTGTTATAATCGTGGTCCTGGTTGTTATAATCATGGTCCTGGTTGTTATAATCATGGTCGTGGTTGTTATAATCATGGTCGTGGTCGTGATACTTACAGTATCTAATATACTATAAGAAGGCATAGAATAAAGGTTAGAATAATTAGTTAAAGAAATACTCGCCATAAGGAGAGGTGAAAATCATAAAAAAAAGATATTATGAATCACCGATGATCATTCCGAGATAAATTATATTATGAAGAGAAGTGACCTTGATTCTGGTTAGATTAGTCACCATCTGCTTAAGTCATCACCTGTGTTAAGTCATCATAGTCATCACCTACGTTAGTCAGTTTTAGGCCCATCTCACATGACTGACCAACCATCCATGTTCTTTCCGTGCGAGGGTGTTAGTTTTCAATGTTTCTTATTATTTACGCTGGTGGATGTAAGACCTCCTACCCTCACTGACGCAGCTGTGGTCAATTTGGTGTTATTCTTGTTTGTAAATGCCTTGTAATCTGTCTCAAGTCTATCCGTCCTGTCTATTGCCATCCCAACTGTCTGTTCGTCTGCGCGGTGTTTGAACCTAAGCCCGTCTGTACTCTTTGTGTCGTCAAATCTGTCTGTCTTATCCGTTGTTAGCGTGTGTCTGCCTGTTTGTCTAATGTGAACCAGTCAGTCAGCTGTCTGTTTGTCGTGTTAGTTGCCATATTGTCTATTTGTACATGTATGAATCTGTCTATTTTTGTCAACCTCCTGTCTATTTCACTGTCTATATTCACCCTGTGTCCATTGTAGTCATCTTCTCCATGCATTCCTGTTGTTATCTTTTTATCTCTTCTCCTTTTCCACAGGAATAAGTATACACTGTAGCTGTAAGGTCGTCTGGTAACGTTGAAACTGCGCATCCAGACGCAGGGTTAGCTCCCGAGAGATAATTATCAGATATGGCCAGTGCTATGTGCGGTCTTGGGTATGTGAGTTTGTTGACCAAACTGGAGTGGTCCATGGAAGAATTGGTGAGGGCCAAGGAAGAAATTGAGAGGGCCACGTTGGAGAACCTGAAATTAAAGGAACAGCTGGCTAGGTTAAAAGGGGAAGATGGACAGGGAAAGCCAGTGTCTGACGAAAACTTAAGCGAGTGGAAAGTTGTGAGTAGTGGGAAGACGAAGCTGGTGGTGAAGAAGTACACCAAGGATACGACAACAATGACAACAACAGTTAAGTGTACCAACCCGTTCAGTCCCTTGATAGACGAATTGGACGTTAGTACAGTCAGGGACAGGGATGACAAGGAAGGTATAAAAACATTAATTGTTGGCGACTCACAGGTAAGGTACATGGACAGGGCCTTTTGTGGTAAAAACAAAAATAGGATGAGGGTGTGTTTGCCAGGAGCTGATGGTGGAGGATATAATTGACAGGATGGGCAATATCTTGTCTGGTAATGGGAACAAACCCATTATCTGCCTCAGTGCAGGAGGCAATGATATTGGCCGGTGTAGGAGCGAGGAGCTTCTTCATAAGTTCAAGGCAGCGATATATCATATTTGGTCTAAGGGAGGGATCCCTATCATATGCTGTGTCCTGCCTAGAAGGAGAGTTGGCAGTGAATGGTTGTCAAGGGCGGTTGGTGTCAACCACCGTCTTGACAGATATTGCAAGTCAATATCGGTCCCATTCATTGACAACTGGGACAACTTCTACGGCAGAAGGGACCTTTATGCTAGGGATGGGGTGGCAACCCTGGCTTGGTCTCTAGAGGGGGCAGTTCAAAGGATATCGAAGTCTTTAAACTGCTAGGGGAACATATGGGCACGGGGGTGGGGGAAACTGCAGTGGGAGCGGGTAAACAAAGTAAAAGATTACAGGGAAATAGTGTTAGGAATGATGACAAAACTAAATTAAACAGGGAGTTTAAAACTAAACGCGATAAAGGGAGGACTCAGAACACGACTAACTTAAATGTCTACTATGCGAACAGTAGAAGTATGAGAAACAAAATGGATGATATTAGGGCCTTGGTATGTACCGAAAAAATCGATATAATAGCATTCACTGAAACATGGATCAACCTAGACTCACGCGAGTTGCCGGTCGAATACCAAATTGCGGGTTACAAATTGTTCCATACAGATAGGCAAACCAGGAAAGGAGGCGGAGTTGCAATCTATGTTAGGGATAATAAAAACTGAGAGGAATACAGAAACAATTTGGATAGAATTAAGCGACGGTAGGGAAAAACTAATCACAGGAGTAATATATAGACCTCCCAATCTTGATAGAGTCAATGAGCGACTTATCTGGGATGAAGTGCGCAGGGCTTCCAGACACAACAAAGTCTGTATAGTAGGCGACTTTAACCTTGGCCAAATAGATTGGACTGATCTTACGGGTAACTCAGAATCAGAGGATTTTCTCGAGACGATCCAGGAGTGTTCCCTAAGTCAACATATAACCGAACCCACACGGGGTAATAATATACTCGATTTAGTTCTGTCGAACAGAGAAAACCTCATTAGCAATGTCGAGGTAGGGAAAGAACTTGCAAACAGCAATCACAAAGAAATTCGATTCCAGTTAGATTTTGAGGGCAGACGTAGGGAAAATTCCACTAAAGTACCAGATTTCAGAAGGGCAAACTTTGACAGTTTAAAGAGGCAGCTGAGAGAGGGGGTGTCGCACTTGGCCGTGAACCTGACAGATGACTCCGACCTGATAACGACATCTGAGACTGCCGAGTTCCACGTCAATTTAAATAATGAGTTACTTAATGCACAGAGGCAGAACATACCATACAAAAAACTCAGATCAGACAACAATGACCCTAAATGGATAAATAATATTTAAAGAACATCATTGGCCAAAGGAAGGCTATAGGTAGAAGGATAAAGCGTGGCGAAATTTACCTCCAGGATTATTATAAGATATTGGCGAGTAGGGTTAAAACCGAGATAAGGAAAGCCATGAGGAATAATGAGGTAAGGATAGCAAGGGAGGCGAAGACAAACCCCAAAGGATTCTACCAAATGTATCAAACTAAAACACGAGAAAAGATTGGACAAATACGGTGAGATACCGGCGAGCTCACTGATAACGACGGAGAAATGAACAA